GCTGGGTAACTGTCGCCACCCAAGAGCTGCTTTAAAGGTCGGGAATGTTTCAGAGATAACCAACTAGCACCCCAACTTGCCCTCCCATACCTCCCCAAAAGCCATGTCTCCCCACAGCCCCTGCAATCATCTATCGGCAATCACACACTGTTCCCGCAGCACCATGGCTTCTGCCTGCCACCTGATTGGCTGGCGGCTACTAGTGACGTGCAGCCAAAGTCCCATGACAAAGGGGGCCTCAGTGAATGGGCTGGGGTGAAAAATATGGGACAGAGGGAAAGGGGCCTATTGGCCATAAAGAATGGCTGGGGGAAGGCCAGCAGAGGAGGAAAGCTGGGCACAAATGGGCAGTGGCAGGAGGCTCGAGAAGAAGGAGGCATGGCCAAAGGTCAGTACCTAAATATCCCATTCTGTCCCTGTGTGCTACTTACAGAAAGTGCTGGAACAGCAACAAGAGAGGAATAATAGCCGCAATGTGAACAGGAAAATATATAATTTATAAAATGATCTTAATTTGTCCTTATACAGAATAGCCTTTTCAGTTTAAGCCAGCCTCCAAAGAGCTGGAATAATTTAGTAACTGGCAAGATACCTCTTTATCATCTGGGTTTATTGCTTTCCTAAAGCCTATATACAACCAAGGGACTTCCTTTTTAAAATGTTAAATAAATCAACAAATGAATATATTTGTAGAACTCAGTGCATGCTCCTAGGGCTGCTGTTTGTTCTGCTACTTCTTCTGTTGGTACTCATTCTAAATTTTGAAATGTGCTGGTAATTTCAGTGTTATTTTAAATGCAACAATGCCCACAGCCACTCATCTTTTGGGATTCTTACTTTGTCTTACACAACTGTGTGTAAAGACCTAGGTATTTCATTGATTCAGATTGTAACATAATTTTACCCATAGATATTATAGTCATTTATATATAATTTTTTCTGTTGCTTTGTCTTCTACTCTTAAAATGTTAAAAAGTATTTTAACTCTTAAAAATGATATGGGTTTCTTTAAAAAGCTTTCCTCTTAGACTCCTACAAAGGTATATTTGCATATTTTTACACCACTGGATCAATATTATTCTCTTTACAAATAATAACTCCTCTAAATCTGTGTTCCAAATTATTTTGCCAGACTGATAGAATCTTTATTATTTCTTGCTTGTGTTACAGTCTTTAATATATTTGCTACAGTATTTCAGACAGTAATCTATCTTTTCTCCTACAATGTAGACCTCTGATTGTTGATGAACTGTGGATTTCAACAGTCCCAGCCAGCATGGCTAATGGTGAGAAACAACAGGAGGTGTGGCATCAAATTAAAATATTCTATTTTTTGTTCATAATAAGCAGTCAAAATAGACCATACCAGGCTTAAGGCTCTTTGGATGCTTCTAAACAGCTACATGCATTCCCAGTCAATACTGTATAGCTAATGGTGAGAACTATGATGAAGCAACATCCAGAGAGCACAGATGTTCCATCCTAATAGGCACAGAAATATCATAAGCAGTATCAAACAGCTGCATGAAGCATCCGAGCTGTCTCCAAATGTACCATTCAGGATTCCCTTTCTAATACTTTACCAGATCATTTGTTGCAAAAAATGAAGAGGAAGAAATTAAGGGAAAACAGTGGTTGATTGATTGAACTAAAGAGTAGACTCAGTGGATCTCTGGGTCTTTTTCTGCCATCAGTTTTCTATGTTTCTAAGTCAATGTCAATGCTTAGTGAGCATGTATAGTAGCTAAAAGCAGAAAATGGTAGTGGATGTCCTAAAATTAGAAAACTAAAGCAAAAGAATTATAGGATACAAACAACAGCCAGAAACACCTTCTAAATTTAATATCAGGTCTAAGAAAAAATAATAATCCAAGAAGACTATCGTCAGCCTTTCACAAAGCACTAGAGGTTTATAGTGACCAAGGATTTAGATTAGGACATTTCAGATTTGTACGATCTGAAGAGAAACCAGAGTACAGGACATTTCAGATAACTGAAACAACCTTATAATCAAAAGCTATCACCATTAGGCTTCCCCTAAAAATTCTTTCCAAACTCCCTTAGCTTTATTAGAATTCACCACATAGATTTTTGTAATTTTTAAAAATGTTATTGTATTATTTATTTGGGAAGCCTAAATGGTCAGTAATGGAGGGGAATTTGGAATAGGAAATAGGGCCTATTCCAAATTCCCCAATCTCAATCATATCGTTAAGTCTGCTTGAAATAAATTTCAGGCTGATTTATTCCTAGTGCAAGTTGCATAGGATTGCAACTATACAGTATGCTTTCTAATTGCTGCTGGATATGGATAGAGTGTAAATATGGTGCATGGTTTACTCAAGACTCATTCCACCTGGTTCACTGGGATTTATTTGAAAAAAACCTGGGTACAGAATTATCTGCAAAATTAATGTAATCCTCAAATATCTTAACAGGAGGTTGACCTCTTTATTCCATTCAAGTGTTTTAGAGTTATGCAGTAAATCTGCAAAAATGCTTTTGTATTAAATATACATCTCAGTGTACACTTAAACCTCTGAAACATTTAATTCCCATATTATTTATTGATTCATACATAGAATCACCAAGAGTCAGACATGATTGAATGATATCATTATCATCATCATCATCATCACATAACATTTAGAGGCTGCCTGACTCCACAAGACTAGCTCACAACATTAAAAGGAAAAGAATCTAGGTCTGAGCAAGGAGTTATTGGGTGAATCCCTAATAGCCATAGATAAGAAAGCATGCCAACACTTCCCCAGAGTTTGATTTATAGCATTTAAATAGGCCTCTTCCAGGAACAAAGAAATACCCTAAAAACATTGAACCTGTTTAAAAAGGTTAATCTGACAATTAATAATCACTCACGTATGCTTTCCCCCACAGCACCAGCAATGGTAAATGAAATCTGTCATGTTGAACTTTACTATAGCAAGCATCCATCTGCCTCTATGCAACCATCTAAGGCAAAGCGAGTTGTGTGGAAGGGGCAGGAAGCACAATGCAGAGCTTCTTAGTCTAACAGTTGTATATGCCAGTCAAGAAGGGCCAATCTACATGTGCATGAATTGCCTATGTCTGCTCACCTTGTAGCTGCCTTGCTTAAATAAAATTATCCTGCATATTGGAAGAGCTTTAATATGGCAAGATGTTGGGGGATAATTCCAGCCCCTTCCCCCCTTGTCAAAAAATGAGAAACAGTTTGATATATACTGTAATCTTTAGAACACCTTCTAAAATAGCACAGCCCAACTGATAGAACTGCAGATTTTAATTCACAATCTGGGCCAGTGCCGCAGGCTAATCTCCACTGGGATTGGCTTGGAGATTGAGCTCAGTTTATCTGGCCAGCTGAAGATTTAATGTATGTGCAAACGTAGCTAACTGGGGCAATAGGCTATGATCAAGTAAACCATGGCTTATATATTTGCCAATACTGTATGGGGAAATGGACTAGAGCAGCAATAAACTCACTGGCACATCTTGACTCTTATCTGAATGGTATTTTTTTTTCAGTTCAGCAGTTAATCATTCACAAATACAAATGTCATAAAGTTGCAAAGAATGTGGACATTTTCACATTAAGGAAATGATCACCAGTGGATGCCACTTCCATTCCTGAAACATAACCACCACCACATAGGCCTAACCTCTGATGCTAAACCTGACCATCCAAAGTGTAGACTTTTGGAATCACTCTCTCCCTTTGATGTGGAATACTAATAATAAAATTCTGAAGGTGTCTTGGTATTTAATCTTACTTACACCATCTGCTATTTTTTGAGATTTCTCTGAAGTGGATCAGAGGGGGGAAAGGGACTCATGCATGCAAATGAATATCAGTATTACACTTTAGACCAAAGACATTTTCTCTTTAGGGACCAGACAAGCTGTTACAGCATGTAAAACAATAAACAGAAAGCCAAGGATAGTATTTATTTCCAAATCATTTAACTCTGATGAGCAGAAGGAGGTTATTAAGTGAGTTGTGTTTTCCAATTTCCATTGTTAAACTAGAAATATTTTATATATACATCCCAAATGTCCATTCCTGATTAGCAATGATAGGTTTTCTGATAAGTTGAAAAACACCAAGATGGCCTTTTTGAAAGGAGAAAAATAAAAGGAACTCTATATTTCCTACACTCTCAAAAGTATATTTGAAATGAAATCATGTTTTACTTTCTAAAAGGAAGCCAGAGAAAAATGAACACTGCTATATTGCAGCCAGCTTTTTGTTTTTCCAACTTGGTGCCCAACAGGTTGGAGATAATTCTTATATTCCCTAACTAATAAGATATTCTGGGAGTTCATTTTGAGTTTGCCCAATTACAGAAATCATAATTAGATTTTTCACATAATTCCTAAACTGTTTCATCTTTTATAAATATCTGAAATGGTTAACAATCTGGACCTTTTTTCCCCCCCAAATTTTTCTGAAGTATTTAGAGAAGACGCTCCACAATCTTACTGGCTGGTTGAGGCTAACAAGTTACAAAGGTCAGTTGGTCCCTATGAAGATACTTAAGCCACAAGAAGTATGTAAAATCAGATCTATTTGAATGATTGTGGTGTGAGAAGCTGTCCACTTAAAGATAATAATCACAATATGACCTGACTCGCGTGTTCTGCTAAGGTCACTGTTTTTTTTAACCATAGTTTAAACTAAACTACAATCAATGGTGGGATTCAGCCAGTTCGCACCAGTTCGGCAGAACCGGTAGCTAATTTCTTGTTGCCCAGGCCCAGAATGGACTTCCGGAAGCGGCATCCACACAGAGAACTGGTTGTTCACATATCTGAATCCCACCACTTGTTATGACCAAGTCTCGAGTGCCCTTTCTATTCTCTGGCACACGTTCCTGACTGGACAGCCACTTGTCCGAAATGGTGTAGGGTTTCCTGCCCGAGCAGGGGGTTGGACTAGATGACCTCCAAGGTCCCTTCCAACTTTACTAATATGAATATGTATAATATCTGTATACTTGTTACACAGTTGTGTAAAATGCAATCTCACAGATCAGCTCTTCACCAACTGTAATTTGAAATACACAAATGCTATTTAATCTATCACAAACATAGGAAAGGGATTTTAAAAATTAATATTTTCTGAAAGCTGAGGCCTCATTAACTAGGACCAATCATTTCTAGCTCAGTCATTTATTGGATTCACATACAGTATAATGACCTACTTTCAGTCCACTCTGCCAGCTTGGTTTCTAATAGTTTCAGATATATTGACAATCTGGCAAGTGCATTTTTGGCTCTGGTTGCCATGTCCTTATTTCATACAATAGAAAGTCTATTAAAAGGGTATTAGAGTTTAATTATAATATGGATACTCTTTCATTTTGCTACACACTAGCAATTCTCAATAATTGTAATGGATATTATCCAGCATCAATAACGGGAATGTACTTTTGCTGCTCATAGTCATTTAATTGAAGCACCAAACATATCGAAGAAATGAAGTTTAGGAGAAGTAAGTGGATAAAATAGTTACAACGGAATATACAGAAAACAATAGATATTGACAGATTTAGTTTAGAAGGTTTGCATCTTCCCAAGACATAACTGGGAATATCATTTGTTTTAAGTTCCAAAGTTATTAAATTCTGCTTCCTCATGATAACTCAGTGTAGACAGAAAACTTAAGTAATATTACTTAATATCATTGGAAAAGGCATGTTTAACCATGCAACTGTTTACATAATAGCAAGGATTTACTGATACATGAATGGAAGGTTTTGTTATTTATTCAGGAATAATTTCCTTGCTTTAAATCATTAGTGGATTTCTTACCTCCCCATCTTAATCATCCCCAAATTATTGAAAGATATAGCATTTCCTTCTCCTGTAAGACAAGGAACAAGGATCAAAAAGATAAAACTGCTTCTACTGTATACATAAGCAAAGTACTTATAATAGGAGCTTCTTTGTTCAAATTGTACTCCTTTGTGGAGTCTACATTGATCTTGAGCCTACAAATGGGGCAACGTGAAGTTGAAGTGAACGTACAGAGTCTGAATGTGGCATTCTGTATTGGAATTGGACACAAATCAGGATTGTGGATAATAGAATTGTATAGAAAAATGCTCTGAAATTCTCTTGAGAAGGCGAGATTCTCCAATAATTTCTCAAGAGTAGGTTCCCCCTCATCTATGACAGAAACAGTGATACTGAAAAACCAGTAAAGGGAGTTTTCTTACAATCTCTTGTCTTGGGCTTTAGTGGAAATAGGAGCAACCAGGAAGGTTCAAAGTCACAGAAAACATTATTGCACAGTAAAGTATGGAACCTTGCCCCCCCCTCATAACTAAGGTGCAAGACTGTCCCACACACTACTCATGGCAATATTCTTGTCTTCTTAGAAATAATTTATTAAGCAAATTATTTTTCATCCTGAAGAAGTGAATGAAGGAAAGTTATTGGAGAAACAGAAGGGGAGAAAGCTACTGCACATAAGTTCCGCTTGTGGGCTTTCCATAAACATCTCCTTAGTTATGATGGAAATAGTTTCCTGATATAGAAACTTCTAATCTTAATCATATCATATCAGTTATCTCTCTCTCTCTCTCTCTCTCTCTCTCTCTCTCTCTCTCTCTCTCCCTCCCTCCTCCCTTTCCCTTTCTCTGTCTCATCTGTCATCTATCAATCATCCATCTCTGCCTCCATCTCTCTGGCTAGCAAGTTTCAAGCAATAAGGTGCTAATGAAACCAATGGAAACCTTGTCTATTTTTCTCCATTGCCCACCTATTTAATTTGCAACTGGGTTATGGGGAATAAGATAATCATTAGTAGTGGAGTAGCATTGGGAAAATTCATCAATTTTGCAAAAGAAAGTAGGGAAAGAGAAGTCTTCCCACAGCTTCAGCCTTGTTATTTGAAATATCCCCTCTTACGCATGAAAGGTGGCTGGGTGACTTCAGGCCAGTCACTCTCAATCAGCCCAACTCACATCACAGGGTTGTTGTGTTGTGGGGATAATAGAAGGAGGAAGTAATAGTAGATATGATAGCCACCTTGATTTCTTTATCATCATCATAATAAAGGCAGGAAATCAATCAATCAATCAATCAATCAATCAATATTTTTTGTTAGTTCCTAAACAGAGATAGGAAGCCTGTTAATCCCAAGATAATAAAATCATTAGAATCAAAATATGTTCCCCAAACTACTTTCTAACTTCTCAGAAAATACAAGTAGTCCTCGATTTACAACAATTCATTTAATGACAGTTCAAAGTTACAACGGCACTGAAAAAAGTGACTTACGACCGTTTTTCACACTTACGACCTTTGTAGCATCCTCATGATCATGTGATCAAAATTCAGATGATTGGCAACTGACTCATGGCCATTGCTGTGTCCCAAGATCATGTGGTCTCCTTTTGTGACCTTCTGCCAAACAAAGTCAGTGGGGAAGCTGGATTCACTTAACAACTGTCTTACTAACTTATCAACTGTGGTGATTCACTTAACACCTGTGGCAAGAGAGATCGTAAAATGGAGCAAAACTCACTTAACAAATGTTTCATTTAAGAACAGAAATTTTGGGCTCAATTGTGGTTGTGAGTCGAGGACAACCTGTACTGTTTGCTGTATACCACTTTTTTTTTTCAACTCAACAATATATAGTATATGGCTATAAGGCAAATACTTAGGTTAAAATTGTATAATCAGACACATTTACTCCATGTATACTTCTTAACGAGATTCAAAAAGGAGACAGAATCTTCCAAAATAACAAATTAACATGCTTTCTTTTCATGCGGACACACACAATTTTCCTCTGCATTCATGTACAAATTCTGTCATAGAATAAGATTTAGTAAACAAAGTAAGCCAGAGGCAGTTGTGTCAGACATGCATAAGAATAATGAACCAAGCTCTATTAAAAATTATATAATCCAAAATCTTTTAAAAATCTTATAAACTCCTATAATGATGTTTACATAATATTCTACACTTTGCTCTCTGTTACAGATGCTTTCAGTTTTAGAAGTAGAAGGGACAACATGTGTATTTGCAGTATGATATAGACAGTTTTGACCTGAGTATTTTGTGTGTTTGTATTTGTGTATTAATACAAATAATAATATATAAAGACCTACATCTTAGGAATTAATCTGAAAAATAGGTGAACCAAAATGGGTGCCAAAAGAGAAACATTTACCTTTTTCACAGAAACGCCCAGTGAAATGAAGAGCGCAATCGCACCGAAATGAGGCCACACCATCAGGAAGATTAATTTGGTGGCAACTTCCTCCATTATGACACAAGCCCTCTTGGCAGACTGAGAATAAAGCTGGCAGAGCAGTTGATGTCAAAACTGCCTTGACTGAATCAGGGCTAGGACCCAAGAGAGCTGCTGCATTCTTTTCATAGGCAGGAAATCTGTGATTCGGAGAAAGAATTTTATGTTTTATTTTATTAGATTTTTTATTCTCCCTCTCATGTTCAGGAAATCTAGGCACTATAAAGGAAGACAACCCTAACATAAAATAATGAAACAAATAATAGTATGTTAGAAAAACTCAGTATCAACTGCTGGGAATAAGGCTCCTGAAACATCCCTTATTCCAGGGATGGATAACATGGAAATCTCAGATTGTGACTCCTATTATTCTACCATTGATCTGTTTGAATGGTCTGATGTTAACAAGAATTCAACAACATTGGAGGAACTTACATAGCTTGTTACCAGTTTACAGGAAGTATGGAATTGGATCTGTGCCCTGTTTTTTTTTTTTAATTCAAAGCCTATTTTAAAAATACATGTAATCCTCAACTTATGATAAGTTGTTCAGTGACCATCTGAAGTTCTTCCAGACATATTTCAGGAGTATTGACATCCCAGATTCACCCCCAGCAGTCACATGACCATATTTTATGACAGTTGTGCCAAAACCAGCATTTACTTCCACTTTTCAGCAAAACTGCGTCAATAGAGAACTATTGGTTCACTTAATGACTGCTGTAAAAAAAAGTCATAAGTGACAGAGAGAGAGAGAGAGAGAGAGAGAGAGAGAGAGAGAGGGCGTAAAGAGAAGGTCTTGGAAAAAACAGAGCTGAGTATGCTGAAACATTAGCAATGATAGAGTTGAAGGTAAGAAGGATGGGCTGGTATCATCCAGGCTGTACAAAGGAGGAAGGAAGATAGACTGTGTCCTTCTTGCCCTATCAAATCACCTTGGAATCCCTCCAGATTTTGCTTTAGGTGAAACACAGCTCAACCCAACAAGGCGAGATTGAGCCGAGGTGGCGCAGCAGTTAGAGTGCAGTACTGCAGGCCACTTTAACTGACTGTGTTCAGCAGGTCAGCGGTTCAAATCTCACCGGCTCAAGGTTGACTCAGCCTTCCATCCTTCCGAGGTAGGTAAAATGAGGACCCAGATTGTTGGGGGCAATGTAAATATATATATATATATATATATATATATATATATATATATATATATATATATATATATATATACATTGCTTACTGGTGTACACCGCTTAGAGAGTGCTTGCACTTAAAGCAGTATATAAGTCTCATAAATAAATAAATAAATAAATAAAAGGCAGGTTTTCTTTTTTTCTGATCTGTGGCCCACCTGAAATAGCTTGGCCAAGCATCTTCAGAACACGTTTGTTTGTTTCTTTGGGGCTCACAATAAATCATTTTCCATGTTGTGTGTCTCTTCCTCCACTTCCAGTATTACTTAATAACAAAAGCCCTGCTGGATTCAATGGGACTTATTGTTCAGCAAAGACCAGGGCTATCAAGTACTAGCATTCAATGGTCCCCATTTTCCAAGATTTAGGTTTTCTATTACGTCTGAAGTGCAGTTCCTCCCTAAGTGTCCATTCATTGTTTATGCACACAAAATCATTTGTATTTGATTATAAAAATATTATAGAACATGGAATCCAGGAATGCGCTCGTTCTGAGCTGGTCTTATCAAACCAAAAACACATGAACACCAACAGTTGTCTTCAGGAGTTTCAGGCACTGAATAAACCTGCACAAGTATATAGTGGTTTCAATGTTTATTTACCTTAAAGGCCAGAGACATTGCTTTCATTCTATGAAGTGATGTTTTGTTACATACTCTGGAGAAAGCCTCTCTGTGATGAAGAACCAGTGGCCATTTAGCACAATAATGAGCAGCTATTAGAGATACAAAACCATTCATCTATACCTTTCTTTGCCTATTCATGTTTAGCGGGCAGTATGCCCCACTGAATACATCCTCACAGACGTACATGGGATTGTTAATGTAAAGCAGCGATAGACAATAACTCCTGATTCATTTAAAACATGCTCTACCTTTCTGGTGGAAATTCAGAGGGGCTCATAAAATCCCAAGACATCACAAAAATGAAGAAGAAAGGAATGGTAATTAAAATAAAACCCAGGAAGCAGCCATTTCAAATGCTGCTAAATCTAGAGCTACACAATTTAATGCTTCGTTTAAATCTATCTATTATCTATTATTCTTCCTCCTCTTCCTCCTTCTCCTCTGATGAATGGGGATTTGAACCGAATCTTTGTTTCAAAAAGACCTCTTGCTACTAGGTTTTCTTTTTCTTTTTTGCAGACTAGTAAATTGGGAAGGATGCTTAAACCAAATCAACCCCAACACTGGCATCCTCCATCTCTTCCACTAAGAAATAACCTAGTTCCACCTTAGGCACAAAGTGCACTGCAACCTGCACTGTAACTTCATGAGAAATTCAAAAGAAATCCTTAAACACCCTGAGCACAATATTACAACGCGGAAGAAGTACTTTTGAGAATTTGCAAACTAGATTTCAACAGAGAATTATTACCCAACATTTTGGTAGTCTAAGGGGACAGCTTAGTTCTAGCAGTGGCGGCTACTTACAAATTCAGACTGATGTGAGGTTTAGGAGGCTCCAAAGAAAGCAACATTAACCCATTCCATTCCCATTTTCTGCACCTTAATAGAGTAAAATTTACTTTCTCAATCCTGTTGTGGAGAATGCAATTGAGGTTAGCTTGAGCAGAAGAGAAATTCTAGCTTCCCTTCATTTGACTAATGCATGTCTCAACTGCACCTTATGGCCCACCTGTTCTCAGAGCCTTCCTTTCAAAGGTTGCCCCACTGCTGGTTATGTTAGTCTCCTTTCCATCACTCCCTTTGGTTTGCTGTGGAGAAAATGTTCCTGCAAACTCATTAATGGAGCAAACATCTGCAACTAAATAGCATTCATGCCAACAGCTATGAATAAGTAATACTCCTGACTCCAAACAGTTTAACTAAAACACTTATTTAAATAAAGAGCTCAGAAACATTTAAAAGTCATTTAGTAATTGAGGTGTTAGAAGCTTCAGCAAGGCACCAGGAAAAAAAAATCTATCAGACAAGCTTGATTTGACTTTAAGCAAGATAAAAAAAATTAGCCTGTGAAGGATTTCTTCTCTTGTCTTATCCTTCTTGACTGGCGTTTGGGGGAGAGGGGAAGCAGGGCACTTCTCTGCAGTGCTAAAGTAATGTTGTTCAGTTGCCTCAAGGACTCCATAAAAAGGCTTATTTGTTAGAAAGAGAGAGAAAAATGATGGCATGTATTGTTGGGATTAGCGCTTGGCAAAGAAATGTTTCCTTAATTGTTATTATTTTTTTCTTCTGCTAGTTCTAATTCAGTTGAGTGAAAGAGAATTTCAGATTAATTGTTGTGGCTGGAGCATGGTGTCCTTGCCCTTAATAAAAAACTGACCAAGAGGAAGGAACATGTTTTTCATTATTTAATATAATTGCTCCAGCAATCCACACTCAGTTTTATTCCTCACCTTGCAGTTATAGCTAAGGATGGCATCATAGGTGGCACAATGGTTGGAATGCAGTATTGTAGGCTAACTCTGCCCACAGCCTGGAGTTCGATCCTGACCGGCTCAAGGTTGACTCAGCCTTCCATCATTACAAGGTCGGTAAAATGAAGACCCAGATTGCTGGAGGCAATAGGCTGACTCTGTAAACTGCTCAGAGAGAGCGGTAAAGCACTATGAAGCGGTATGTAAGTCTAAGTGGTATTGCTATTTTTGTAGCAATGTGACTATTGGTAGTCAGGGGATAGACCTGCTTTGATATGGAACGGAGAGAATATCTCTTCCAGGAAAAAGGCAGAAAAATCATCTGATTTCTCTGCCTAGAAAACAGGTGAAGAAATCTAAAAAGGTGTTTGAATTCAGCTCTCACTTCAATATAGGGGAGTGGTGGCAAACCACTCGAATCCTTCTCTGTGGGCATACGTGCTGTTGCCCCAGTCTTGCCTCCCCTATGACCCCCTCCTCACCAACAGCCCCCCTGGAGGAGAGTCGCCCCCAAGTGTGGCCCATGCGTGGCCCATGCATTGCATGGCCCATGCAGCCATGCAGTGCAGCCAAGGACATGGCAGCCAGGCAGTGTAGACAAGACTCTGCCCTCACGCCCCATCACGCACAGTTGATACTGCAGGGCACGGGCAGAGGGCGTGACTACCATGGTGTTGCTGGTGATCTGCAGCGGGCCCTGGAGGCGGTGAGTGGCCCTGCGGGCAGGCGGGCTGGGGGCAGAGTGGGGGTGGGCCAGGGGCTGGAGCGGGGTCAGTTTTTGGGCACTCGGTCTCTAAAAGGTTCGCCATCACTGATATAGGGTATGTCCCATTGGCTCAACCTTTCAGAGATACTTCCTTACTAGATTGCTCAATACCTTCAACAATGACAGAACTTCTAATGTGCTGCTTTCACTAGAAAAGTTGGAATACATTTAGAGATGGATCTGCCTTGAAAATAACCCAAGTGAACTGTATAGCAGCACAGGAAATGTTTTATGATATTTTGTATAATGTAATAAACTGCTTTTACGGTATGCTTTATAAAATTTATCAAATTTCAATTCCATGGGAGTCATGGATCCTACATTTGGATGCATTCTGTAAGTTAGTCCATTTGCGATATCTTGGTTCAAAAAATTGTTGCCCTACGTTGACCATCTCACCCAGTTAAAGGTAATGGGAACAACAGTTTTAATGGTGTATAGATATTTGGACCATATGTTTGTCTGTGCCTGTCTATATGATTGAGTGTGCCTCTTGGCAACTGTCTGAAGAAGTCTATGCAGTTTTCTTAACAAAAGTTATTGCCTGATTCTTAGAGCTGAGAGAGAATGTCTGACCCAAAGTCATCCAGGCAGTTTTCATGCCTAAGGTTGAACTAGAACTCACAGTTTCACAGTTTCTTAACCTAGACCAAACTGGCTCTCTATCTATGCACAACTTGAGGTTTTTGTCTGTATGCCTTCAAGTCAGTCTTGGATTAGTCTTTGCAGCTTTCTTGACAAGAGTTTTGAAAATGGTTTGCTGTTGCCTTTTTCCAGGGGGTCGAGAAGTAGCAACTCTTCAGAGCCATC